GAACCGAAAAAAGAAAAATATAAATAAATAAAACACCACCATATTGTAAAATTAAAAAGAATTATAATTTATATTGTAATTTTATAAGGCGTTTTCTGTGCATAAAAATTTAAGTTTAATTTAATTAGAATTTTATTTCATTTAAAAATGATTAAATGAGGTCATAGCTAAATTGCTTATTTGTAGTTTAATAAATTATTAATATTTACACTTTTTGAATAAAACCTTTTACGCCTTCTAGCTTATATTAAGTCTCTTGCATTCATTGAAAATATAGTAGTTTATTTTTCTCCAGATTTATTATTCTTTCCCGAAGTTTATATATTTTGTAATTAGCAAAATAAAATACTAGTTATATAAAAGAAAAACGTTCATGAAAAAAAATACGCTACAAGAAATTTAATTAAATTGATATATTGAAAATATAATTTATTAAAATTGAAGTCAAGTTAACAGTAAAATGCACAAGCTAAATTTTAGTTAATTTGATTTTTATAAAAAAAAATAATTTTTGCATTTTTCAGAACAATTTACTTTCAATATGTTTTAAATTTTTCCTTCAAATTTATAATTGAATTATTTTTATTTTTATTTTTTGTATTAATTCCCTTATTTATAATGATTTAAATATATTTATAAAGATACACAAAGTATGGTAAAGTAAAAATGAATAATCTATTTGTTTCAGATATTCAATAAAATATTTTGGAGAATTACCGAGAATAAAGCTTCATATTAATTCTGATTTAATCAAATATTTCTCACAGTTTTAAAAAAAGAAGTGATAAGGAAATCGTGAATAATTGTTCGGAATTCAAGTATCTTAATTATAGATTAATTTACGATATGTCTAGAAATTCTTAATTAATTTAATTATTACTTATTAACAGAGGAATTAATCGCGTAAAATGAAGACTTGTTGAACTTTCAAAATATACCTATAAAACATTTCCTAATTATATAAAGAAATAAATAAGTTTTAATCAGTAATTTTATAATTGGACTTGCTTTAAATAATAATCAATTCGTGATTCTTTGGACTTTTTATAAGTCCAAAAAATTTATTTAATTATTATTTAAAATTTTACATAGATATCAGTGTGAATATTTTAAAATTTGCATTATTTACTAATGATTAAATGTTACAGCTAACGGAGATAGTAGTCGGTTGTAGATCCAAAGCTGTCTTTGTTGTCGACACTCGTGTGTTCGTAACCCAGGTTCGTTCTATTCTGAAGTTTTAGAATTGTTTTTCCTTGTTTCGATCTAGTCGACGTCCCAGCACCAAGTGAAGGCTTTTGTTCTTCCTATCCATTTCTATCCATTTTCTTATTACCTTGGTTTTGATCCTGAAGTAGAATCTATTCATTCTCTGTCGATGACTTATTTGGTCTTAATCCGATCTGTCGTTAAATGCTGATAATTATTTTAATAATAAATGTTTTTTACTAAAAAGTATATATTTTTCTTTTACTATATTTTAATCAAATCAGAGAAACCAATTGATTAATTTATTAATCAGACGACATAGATCATAAAATACTTGTCTACCAGTGACCGAGTGAACTGACCACTGGTACACAGTGGTTTTAGGTCGCGAGTTCACACCTCAGCAATAGGCTGGCTTTATGAAGTTTTCCGGGTTTTCTTCACCGTCTAAAACTGAGTAGAAGCCAGATTTCAATAGAAAACCATTCGGGACTTTTGGTACACCTTTGGTAAATCGTCCATATGCTGCGCTGCAGTCTACAGTCCAGTCCATACTTCTTTCAAATAACGAAACGTATCTTTCTAATGCGTCATTTACAAAGAAAAGTATGAATGTTCTTTCTTATACTGTTAAAAACTTGAAATAATTAAATTATTTAGGAGATATTTCTAAAATTACTTTAACGTCACTAACTACTTTCAATATTTTATTTTTTATTAAATTAAAAAAATACTTTTAAATTACTTATAACGATTTACTTGATATACAACAAACTTACTACTCTTGATAAATGCAAAGAAAAATATTAAATAAAATATTAGTCTGTAAATATACAGAGAGTATTCCTATTAAAATTTTTCCTTAACACTTAAAGAAAAGCTTAAAANGTCTACTAAAAATGTAGTTAACCTAACCTAATCGAAGCACCGACATTGGGACTACCTAAATAAAAACTTAAACCTTAAGCCTAACGGCATTCATGAACAAAAACATGATCTTACCGGTCTTTTTCTTTAGGAAATCTAAAGAAGGACAGATGATGTTGCTTCCCTCGAGCATTTGCGCAATTAATAGCTGAACAATAATTAACTCCTGCAGTCTTCCAAGTTCTTGAATTCATTTTCTGTTTTAAATAAAGCTTCTACCACACGTATTCACAGCATATACGACGTTAAATGAAAGTAGTTTTCACGCGACGGTCACAGAGTGGCGCTAGCAGCAAGTATCTGCGTAAGTGTTAATGCGCAGAACAAGTTCGCCCATAGAACTTGCCAGTCTTCCTAGCTTTGCTAGGTAATTAGTCTATGGTGTGTCCTTGCGTTTTGTTAATTGTAAAACTATAGGCTAATTTGATTGGAAATTGCATTCTTTTAAATTGGAATGGAAGTTCAGTAGAGATCATTGGTATTCTGGGGATAAATCTGTGTGTCCTTTGTCCTCTCCAGTCATAAGTTCGGCTTCGATGATGGTATTCGATAGCTGTTTGACGATCATCCTTGTTCCATTACATAGTTTTGGTAAGCATTCCACAACATTCGAGAGCTTATATTCAGTCACTGTATCACTTTGACTACTCACACTTCACTGTTTGTTTTTATTCACTCACTGCACTACTTTGGAATTTTCATTTCTTTTTCGGTTCTTCCCTTCGTCACTGATAAGAAACTGACATTCGAACCCACGACGAATCTTGCTTTATATACCCCCACCAATGGGTAGTCCCACCCATATAAAAAAGGCTTCGAATAGTCCACAATGTTCTAGAACATTCCACAGCATTCGAGTGTTCTGGAATCTTCCACAATCATCTGGGATGTTCCCAAACGTTCCAGAACATCCCGGAACATTCTGGAATGTTCTGGACTGTTCTAGAAATTTGTAGAGGGCGAAACTTCCAGCCCTTATATCTTCAACAGCACGCCCTTCAGGTAAAATCGGGAACCTTCTTCATGGATGAGGGATTGAGCGCTACCACAACATTTAACTCCCTTGATCGTACCGGGATTCGTTTTTGAGTTTTAGCGGCACGCACATTGTACACTTACCTTTATTATATTGATTGATTACCTTGCATTAGGATAGAAATTAACGATTTTTTAAAGTTTATTATTCATTATTAAATTTATTCTTTATGACAAAATATTTGACTGTATTATTAATAATTTGTTATATAATGAAACGAATGTTCATTATTTGGGAATACAGCATTAAAAGCTTGAGCCAATAAGTTAGTATATTTTCTTCATACCTATACGCTATAAGATTTTAATACATTGTAACTTTGTTATTAATATATTTTTAAAATACATTTGATTTAACCAACTTTCAGCATAATGGAACACTTTTCATAGTTAGTCCGTTAAATCGAAGGTCCACGGAACTTGCACTTAACGGAATATTACGCTATTGTTAGAATTCAAGCTTTGTTTGTAAAATCCCACAAATTCCAAAGAAATTTATTTAATACTTTTCAAAATAATTATTCCGAACTTCAATACACTTTTTGTAACAATTTATCTAATTTAGGAAGAATTTAGAAAAATCATTCTTTTGAGGGTGGAAATTTATAAGCATTCTTTGTATAAAAAATTTCATTCTCTCTCCATTAAATATTCGAATTATTTATTGATTTCTAAAAATTATATTTAATTCATTATTCAACAAAATATGTAAAGGAAAATAACAAAAGAATTATTTCATATTTTTGTAGTACTAATATTTTTAAAATAATTATTTAATTAATTCGCAAATAAAAATTAAACTAAAATTAAATAAAAATTAATTTTAAAAACTCGTTTTTTATAAAGACAGAACAGAATAATAATTTCATTAATTTTAAATAGGATTATATTTTCTTCCTTTTAAATATACACAGAAAACAATAAATAAAACGAACAGGTTTGTATTACTTTATCTTCAATTACATTCTTTCAGGTCTAGTAAATATTTGAATTTTCTAAACATTCGTGTATTCTGTTTAAAATAACTTATAATTAAAATTATTTTATTTCAAAAGTTCAAACATATTATTTCTAAAAGAAAATAATTAAATTTATAACTTCTACATTCATAACTTTAATTATCGCAGGCTCTCCATTTAGTGTGATTGCGTTGCCGTCACATGATTCATAAAGCGACGCAATCGCTGTCCTATGTGCCTATACACATTGTGCGAAATAGAAGGCGATTAGCAATAAATTATGGGAATTTTTTAAAATGGCGGCAAAACTTTCAACTTAGTTTTATATTTTCCAATTTAATTTTATAATCTAATATTTGCTATTTTGAGTCTTTTTGAAATTTCCTCTCCATGGTGTATACTGGTATAAGGATGATGGATAAAAATATGATGTCATGTACGTGTACTGTACATGTTGACACAGGCTCAAAAGAAAAAAAAAAAATTAATTCGCTGTCGTTGCCTTCTGTAAAGGCATTGATATTGTTCTTAAACGAAGCGCTTATGCATCCAACTTAAGAAAAGTACAAATTAGCATAATTTGATGAATTTGTGTGCTAATTTGCACCCATCAAAGTTTAAAATTTATACTTACATTTGTACTATTAAAAATATTTGCCTAAAATTATTTTCTTATTTTCTGTTTATTAGCACATATTTTCGAGACTTTTTCATTTTCTATATATGGATATATTATTTCAGTTTATTTTTTATTCCTTCCTTAGATAAATTAGGCGTGTTTATTTACCCATAAATTCATATTTTCACCATTACTTATTTAAATTAAACAAATTAATGTACTACAATAATAAAAACGTAGAGTATTAAAATTACGTTTAAAATAAATGTTATTTTAATTAGTATGCAAATACATCAGTATGAAAAGTCATATAAGAAAACTTATAACAAAAATTATATAATGTATTTTTTTAAATGAACACAAACAATAGGAATATAGGAAAATGAACACAAATAACTTAAATAAAAATGAACGATAACTTTTAAGATAACGACTCTCAGGCTTCCTGAGCTTCTTCTTCTTCTTCTTCTTCGAATTCTCCTTCGTCGGCTGTAGCTTCTTGATACTGCTGATATTCGGACACTAAATCATTCATATTCGACTCGGCTTCGGTAAACTCCATTTCATCCATTCCCTCTCCGGTATACCAATGCAAAAAGGCTTTCCTACGAAACATGGCGGTAAACTGTTCCGAAATGCGCTTGAACAGTTCTTGAATAGCAGTGGTGTTGCCTACGAATGTACCAGACATCTTTAAACCACGAGGAGGAATATCACAAACGGCGGTTTTTACGTTATTAGGTATCCATTCTACAAAATAGCTACTGTTTTTGTTCTGAACGTTTAGCATTTGCTCGTCGACTTCTTTCATGCTCATCCTACCACGAAAGATGGTTGCTACGGTTAGATAACGTCCGTGGCGAGGATCGCAAGCTGCCATCATATTTTTTGCATCGAATAGTTGTTGAGTCAATTCGGGAACTGTTAAAGCTCGGTACTGTTGACTTCCACGAGAAGTCAGGGGAGCGAAACCGGGCATAAAGAAATGAAGACGAGGAAATGGTACCATATTTACTGCCAATTTCCGTAAATCTGCGTTTAACTGACCCGGGAATCTCAAGCAAGTAGTAACGCCGGACATGGTGGCTGACACCAAATGATTCAAGTCGCCATAAGTCGGCGTGGTTAATTTCAGTGTCCTGAAACATATGTCATATAATGCTTCGTTATCTATACAGAATGTTTCGTCGGTGTTTTCTACCAGTTGATGAACAGAAAGAGTGGCATTGTATGGTTCCACTACTGTATCCGAAACCTATAAAATATTGTCAAAGATAATTAATATAATATAAATTTTACATTTTTATGGGTACATTTTTCTTTTTCGTTTATTTTATGATAATTTTTCCTGGAAAGCTTTTATTTTTATTTTTATTTTTTAATATAATTTCAATTTTGAATAAGAAAATATGCCACAAAACCCTTAATCAAACTGTAATTTGTAGAAACAATATTTTCAGTAATATTTTAATGTCTATTTTTAATTTAAAAATCTTTCTAATAAGCGAAAATTCAAAATGTATTAATCAACTTTGTGTTTTGAAAATTAGATAAAGCATTCACTGATAAGTGATAAATTAATAACAGCAATAATTATAATTATTATAAAATTTAAAAATTGCTGACGTTTGTTGCTTATTTTAAAATAGTTTTAGTCATCAGAGTATCATATCGACTGTTTTTACATAAGGAAAAAATGTAAAATTCGAAAGAATATTTTTTTAATCTAAAAGCTTGAATATAATAATCGTAACACTAAAAATCATGGAATATACAGAGTGGCCTAAAAACATCTCGTAAAAATATACACCCATTAAAACATTGATCAGAATAAAAGATTTATTTTCGTGAGGCTTTTTTCGATTTCATAAAAAAGAACCACTTCCTGTTCTTATTGGAGGGACGGTGAGCAACTGAAGAATTTCAATTGGGATCCCTCTATTATTTTAATATTTTATATTCCTCATTAAAGAATATTAAGGTATCTTGTTAAACATTTTTTTCAAAAATTATTAATTTTGATTTAAGTTGAATTTCATTCGTTTTTTTCTTTTTCAAAAAGTAAAGTTAAAGAAAATAAATTATTTTTTAATATTTTAATTAACTATAACTAAGACATTTAAATGTCTTAATTATCTATATTTACATAATTATTTAATCGAAATAAAAACATAAATAATATTCATACCGAATGTTTTCTGATTGAATTCAAATTTTTGATATCGGTAATCGGTTTTAAAAAAAGAAACATTTGTTTTGGTCTTTCAAAAATTGTGTTACTGTATTTTTAGCTGTATCTATGAAATTTTTGACGTTAAACCGTTAGCAATTGCATATCCTAGTGAAAAATCCTAGTGAAATAGTATTTTTAAATAAAAATGGCAATTCTGTTAAATAATTTGATTTTTGCATTTAATAAATTAAATAATTTGAAATATATATAAAAAAACAAAAAGCAGAAAATTCAAATGTTTATTTTTTGTTATTTAGAAAAGTTTTCTGTACTGCTGAAAAAAGCACTTTTTGAAAATACGACCAAAAATGGTTATAAGTTTTGAAAAAAGTTTAAATAAAACTTCAGTATTCATTAATGGATAATATGAAGATAGGAAAATAAGGATTTTCAATTGAAATTCTAGAGTTGACACCAGTCCCCCGATAACAGATAGGGAGTGGTTTAAATTTTATGAAATTGAAAAGAACCCTGGAAGATAATTATTTCATTCATATAAATTTTTTTTAATGAATGCATGTTTTTACGAGACGTTTGTCAGGGACATTATAAATGACCACCCTGTAAATTGAGGAAATCGAATTTGAAAATAGTTAGGAAATATAAAAACCACATTCAAATACAGTCTTTTTCATTTCCAGTATTATTTAATGATAATAAAATGTTTAAAGACAAACGTTTTCTGTCTAGTCGAAATTTTTCCTACAGAGGTACTCAGAACCTCAGTTTCATAAACATATCCTTGAGCTGGCCCATTTGTTATGATATTCGTCTTTTTTCAATATGATTACTCGTACAATATATATGCTCAATGTAAAGGAGTACCTATGGACAGCCCATTATCAGGGGATTTAGCGTGATGGTAATTAAATTATTAGAAAACACAATTTTATCAGTTTTCCTACTGGAAATATACATGTACAGCGGGTAAGTCGATGATATTTTCATTATTTGGAAAGAATAACCAGATGTTAATAACTTCATTACACAAATTAACGACGACCCATATGGCCTCAATGTAGAGTTAGATCAAGCCAGCAATACAGGTGTACAGTACATTTCCTAGATCTACTGATAAACACCAAAAATAACCGGGCACACACAAATATTTATTACAAACCAACGTACATACCATTATTTATACCAGAAAACTCCCATGACCCTTACACATATAAAATTTGGGCGTTCAGGGCCGTCACTAAAAGGGCCTTTACACATTGTACTGATTACACGAATACACTAAAAGAACTCAAACACTTCGAGCGGGTAGTTATTATTCACAGATACCAAAAGAACCTGATTTGGAATATAGCCCGGGCCTTCTAAAAATATACACCACATAAACGCTAATACTCCCAGTGAGTACGCACACCACACGAACACACGGCGTATCATTCTAGATTACTATCACAATATGCTACCAATATACAAAGAAATAGCAAAACACGGGGTTATACAATTAACATTCAGACGCGACCATACCGTCATTAATATTCTTAAAAACTGGTAGGATAGTAATAATATACCGGATACATTGTTTTTTACTTAATTTTAATGCTTATTTTTGTTTTTTCTTGTAATTTTCATACAGTTACGTTAGTATTGCGCGATTTTTAACTATTCGAAAAGTTTTGTTTTTTTAAAAATACGTTAACGTTCCAAAACGCATTCCATTTCACGTAGACCTGCAAAAGATCTCGACTAGATCGAAAACGTTTGTCTTTAAACATTTTATTATCATTAAATAAACAAAAAAAAGGCTGTAGTCGAATGTGGGTTTTATTAGTATTACTTTTCAGTTTCATTTGTTGTGAAGTTATTTCTCCATTTAGAAAATATACTAATAAAATATAGTAATGTACCATTTGAACTCCCATGAAAAATAATAACTTTTTTAAAAATTGGTAATAAATTATTAGCGTTGATGTTAATTATTTCATATCAAATAAACTTAGAAACATTTACCAATTTTGATGAATTAACATCATGAAAAACTTAATGAGTTAATACGAATTTGTAATTAGCTTGAGATAGAAAAAATTAGCCTACTTTTGGTGACGGTACGATGCTGAAGGTATTCATAATTCGATCGGGATATTCCTCTCGGATTTTGGAAATAAGAAGCGTGCCCATTCCCGATCCTGTTCCTCCTCCCAAAGAATGCGTCATCTGAAAACCTTGGATGCAATCGCAGCTTTCGGCTTCTTTTCTAACCACATCCAAAACCGAATCCACCAACTCGGCGCCTTCCGTATAATGACCTTTTGCCCAATTATTGCCGGCACCACTTTGGCCTAGATGTATAATTTTAATTAACAAAAATATAAATTAAACTTTAGGGAAATAATTTACAGCAAACTCACCGAACACAAAATTATCCGGTCTGAATAATTGGCCGAAAGGGCCGGATCGAACCGAATCCATTGTCCCCGGTTCTAAATCTATCAGAATGGCTCGAGGTACATATTTCCCTCCTATTAATTAAAGATATTAAATATTTAATATATATCCATTTTTATCTAAAAGAATAAGATTAATATACCTGTAGCCTCATTATAATATACGTTAATTCTTTCCAACTGCAAGTCCGAATCTCCGTGATAAGTTCCGGTAGGATCGATTCCATGTTCATCAGAAATCACTTCCCAGAACTACAAATTAATGAAAGTTGTTCATTTTACGTACATTTTTCGCCATTATCTTAATTTAACTTTCTAGAATTGTCAATAATTTGATCTTACCTTAGCACCGATCTGATTTCCACATTGTCCAGCTTGAATATGAACTATTTCTCTCATTTTATTTTATATTTCTAGATTAAAAGCACTGGAAAATTTCGATAATTCAATCAGTTCTAACCGTTGCAAAATCGAACACGATTAACGGATGTTTCTCTGCGCATGCCCGTAATTCAAAATTCTTTCTATTTTTATACATTTAATTTTTTAAGATCAAATTCGATTATTCCGTTATTCATTTATTATTTTTAAATATAAATATTTTATTTTAGAATTATTTATTTCTAAGTTTAATTGCCAAAAGTAAAAAAAAAAAAATTAAATGAAAGAAAAATTAAATTAACTGCGCATGCTCTTCGAAATTAATCGTGCGCTTTTCGATGTCCGTTAAAAGACGCGCAAAATTAATGCATACACTGCGCATGTCTAAAAATAAAGTTCGTTTTATCGGGATTGTGTAGATTTTTACGTAAACTTGATGTTAAGATTTACATTAATATTCCACCAGAAAACTATTAAATATATATAAATATATTTAATTTATATCTATTTTAACTTTATAATGTATAAAACTATTAATTAAATTAAATGTATAAAACTTATTTTTGTGAGATCCGGAATTTTATTAATTAAAATTTTAATTATATTACTTCTGTTTATATAACGGATTGGAAGAAGGAAAAAAAAAACGATCTTAGCCGAAAATGTGTAAACCTTCCTGTCATAAATATCAAGATTCTATTGTTCCCACATAACTTGCAGCTCGACTTGCACAAAAGTTTATAATTAGCATCCAAATTTCGTCACTTGTTTTAGGACCCTGGAACACCTATAACCTTTAGCTCATAGAAGATTCAATCACGTGACGGAATTTCTCCACAAAAAGCTATAAAAGACATTTCTTACCCCCTCTCGGGGGAGTCTCTTAACGAAAGCTGGACCGACGACATCGAGTCGTATCTCCTAACCCGCCGCAATTCCGATCATCTAACATCGATATCAGTTCGTCGCCACAGTCGCGAACTTCTATATTTGTGCTCATTTGGATTAAAGACACCTTTTATTGGACATTTAAGTGCCTACATGGACTTAATCGTCAAGGAAACCTACAAAGATGTATGAAAAAGCGTGTTAACTCTCTCTCGAGCTCTTAGGCGGTCTAGCGTCGAGATTTGTGTAGTAGTTTTGTCAATTTTGATTATTTTAATAAATTCTTGTTTTATTTGTTAAAATGGTAGACTCCTTTACTCGTATAAGACCTTCACCTTATCGTCGACCCCAAATACTCTCCCTCCACTCGACCGACATTTGAGAGTCTCAACCCTCGGGACCAGTAATAGTAAATTTAGCCATCTTGACAAGTGAGCAGGTTTTACGACCTGTTGCCCGAAAAGGGAGGTGAGACTGACCCCGACCTCCCCGGCGGTTCACATTTTATTTAGATTTATTTAAATAAAATAAGGTAAAGGTATGGACGGTCGGATGGCCGAGCGGTCAAGGTGGCATTCTACGGCTCTGGAGAACCTAGAATCGAATTCGGATGGGTTGAATAATTCCCAGAAATATTTCGGGGTGGCCCATCCGGATATGTCGGGCTTCTTTCCTTCCCTACCCGGCCTGGCCAACAATGGGGCAGTTAGGGCAATTGAATCCATAGAATCCATAATGGGCTAGTAAAAAGAGGCCCTCTTAGTGTCAGTAGAATGGATAAGAGTTTTAAAAAATGCTAAAGTATAAAGAAAATCTAAATGAAAATATTTCAGATATAAGATCATTGCTCTAAGTAAAAAATTGTGGAAATTACGAAACAAATTTTTCTTTGATATAGTATAGATAAGTTGGCGCTTCCAAGCTTTTCCACAAGATTTTTCCTTTATTATTGTTTTCTATATTTCTCTTCAAATAGCCAAGATTATCTTCACTAAAGGAAAACTCATAAGAAAAAAAGTTTCTGTCATCTAAATTGTCACAAGTTTTTACTTGGTGCTAATTTTTTTACATAAATCAGACGTGTTTGTTAGAATAGAATCCCTTCCCGATCAAATGTTTTTCATCTTATAATATAATCGAGATGGGTTGATAGTAATAATAATGATAATTGCAGAGCCAGGAATTGAATGTTGAAATTTGATACGCAGGATACGTTATGAGAATGTACAATATACTAAGAAGGAAGTTTTCGAAATATCCCGAGGTGGAGAGGGAGAAAGTTCAGGATTACCCTGAAAAGCTTGGTTTCTAATGTACTATTTTAGAAGTAGTTTTTTTGAGTTTTGCGGGAAATCGAACATATTTTTAAACTTATCTAAAAATTCTCTAATCAGCCTCGGAAGAGAGACATTTAATTCTTGCACCCGGTGAAAACGGATAAGATCGGCTATGTAAAATAACCTTTGTAGTTATATAAACCAAATTCTATAACATAATACAATAGAAGAGTTAGAAATACGAAATTAAATAATCTGAATATTTGTTCTTATTTCTTGCCCAGGCAACGTTGGGCTTAACTGCTAGTATTTTAATATTTGTTTGCTTTTGAGGCTTTGGAAATAAATTTTTTTTTAATTTCTAAATGCTTTCTAGAATGAAGGAAAGATTATTAGCTACAAATTAGAATAATTTGAGAATTTAGAAATATTATTTTTATGTTTATTAGCAACTTTATAAAAACATATTGTTGTAGTTGATGCAGAGTGTGGTAGCGGGGTAAAGAAAAGGAACTGCTTGACTGGAATAGAGTTTATACACTACACACAGTAGAGATACAAAAGAACAAGAAGTTCTACATAGAACAGGGTCTTCTTATATATGGAAAGATGTAAACTCTACCTGAAATGTTCTTAGAAGAGTGTCACGATACTCTCGCCAACACATGTGCTTTAAGCAATATGTTTTATGTACAGTACTTAATGACTTGCAGAATTGAAATTAATAACAGTTGTTAGAAGGAAAGTACAGTACAGTACATTATGTGTATTGGAAAAGATAAACAAACCTTAAAAATCCAATTTAATATGCAGTCTTTTTACGAAACCTATTTTCCGTTCGGTAGAAATCGTAATCTTTCGATTTTTCCAAAGAATGTCAATCAACTGACCGAAAACGTTAAAAGATTTAATAAAAAGACTGTATATTAAAAGGTTTTATGAGGTTTGAAAAAGACACGAATACTTGAAATATAACCAACTGAGGAAGTGTAATAATTAGCCCGAAATGTACATATTGGTTTAATGATTTTATCTCAGTGAACTTTCCAATTGAAAACTGTGATCCGATAAGTCCTTAAAATTTATAGTAAATTATAAATAGCTATTATGATTAATTAAAATATAGGACAAAAAGCAAATAGTTATAATTGTGATATACTTACCTTAAAAGTTACTTCTCACCTGGTACTGGTCCAATTTACTTAATATAAACACACATAAAAACCTTTACTTGACCAGTAAAAATATATTTAATGAAAACAACAAACGTTTTCGACTGCCTTCCTCAGTCTTCCTCAGGTTTTAAATTCTGATATTCGAAAATCGTTGTGCTTAAATATTTAAACATTTTGGAACATATACATCTTTGCGANTTAATACGCATGCGCGTAATGAATTTTATTCGCAAAGATGTATATGTTCCAAAATGTTTAAATATTTAAGCACAACGATTTTCGAATATCAGAATTTAAAACCTGAGGAAGACTGAGGAAGGCAGTCGAAAACGTTTGTTGTTTTCATTAAATATATTTTTACTGGTCAAGTAAAGGTTTTTATGTGTGTTTATATTAAATACTTACCTTAATCCATCATGTATTATGAACCTATTACATGTTTTTAATAAATTATAAATTATAGTATGATATTGAGAACGGAAGCCTTTAACAAACTATAATGATATCTGTTAATTTAAGAATTTTAGAAAGAAAAGATGAAACAGAAAATCAGATGGAAAGTACCAAATATCGATTATATGAAATTAATGTTTATGTCAATATCTGAAACTGGGATTATTAATTTTTTATTAAAAATCAAAATAAAAAAATCTGTGTGTTTACTATTAAAATATCTATAAAAATGTGATACTTTTCGGCAAAACATTTTAAATTACTTTATCATGTTTAAAACCTCATCAAAGTTAATATTTAATGAAGTGACTATTTAAACATCTGTAGTTAATTCGTGAAATATTGATCGTAAGTTTTCAACTAATTGTAGAAACTTTAATAGCAAATTCTAAGATTGTTAATTACATTAAGTTAATTATAACAAAGATTTAAACTGTCAAATTATTTTCAATCTCAATGCACTCATTTACATCGGTTGAGAATAAGTTATAAATGTCTTGTTCTAATTGTAATAAATTACAGTCGAAGAATAGAACAATTTTAAATTGAAATGTCTGTAATCACAACGACAATATATAAAATATGAAAAGGTGTTTAATTTTCTGATAGTACAACGTGCTATCAGATTTCTATTAAAAATTTAATAGCCTACTTTAGTAAAATTAATTCGTGATTCGTAAATTAATAGTTATTCTTTATAATTAAAGGCACTTCTTGGAATAAATTTAATGCAGTTTATTCAATCACATGAAAATATATTCACGTTTATCAGTGCTTTTCATACTAAGGCACCACAACTCTCAGAGGGGCCCTGGTACCTCAATCGGGCCTCCAAGCATGTAAATATTTTAAAGCAATTTTGAATGTTTTGTTTCTAATGCATTAAATTTTTAACAAATGCACAATGTACGAAAATCTGTTTCTGATGAATTAAAAGCGTCAATTTCCCTTATTCATTAAAAGGTGCTTTAATTTAGATTATACTTTACAGCACAATTTATTTTTAGTGCTATCAACAAGAACTAATAAACAATATTTTACTACTGTCGTTCGCCATTACACAGCGTCTTTATGGATCATTTCAATCGTTAACAAAATTAATGTGATTTATAGGTTTGTATTAAGAAAATGTGTACTTGGGTTATAAATTGCTAAAATCGTAAATTTTTATGAATTTCTAAAATTCTTTACACAAATTTAAGAATATGTAATAAATTAATTATAAATAAACACAAGTGACCGTGAAAATTGTAAAGTAGACTCAGGGAATCTTGGCACCAAAAATTAGAGAGGCACTAAGCTATATCTGAATTAAAATGTATTTATATTTATAGTTTTTATTCAGTAAATTAGAATTTTACTACGGTCTCAACAATTATTCTGAAAGTTTAATCTATGACTAACAAATTCGATTTGGCAGATATGAATGTAATTGACAGATATGAATGTAATTGATAGATATAAATTGATGCATAAAGTGACTTTTAATGTAATTTCTAAGTATTCTACTGAAAAATTGTTTTATGAAAATGTCTTAAATATTTAGTTACTTCTCCATATTTACACAAGCTCTATATTCATATAATGTTTTAAATTTCAACTCTAATTATCAATATTTTATCTGCGACTTACTCGTTAAATAGAGCTAAACTATAATATGTATTGTGTGTATATAAAATAAATTATTTTGTACGATAATATAAATGATTTATCTAAATTAATTTCTTTAATCTTCAATAAAATTAATCAGTTTTTTAATCAAATTAATCAAGGGTTTTGATGTTACAATGTAGAACGCCTTTTAAAGTTTGTCTTCATACTCAAAATCTTACAGTCTTATAAAAAAAACAAGGGTTACAATAAATTAAAATATGAAGTATAAAATAAAAGAAATTTAATATGGTAAACTTCCTCAGTGTTTACTACTAATAAATTAATTTTTAGTAAATTTAAGAAGCAGTTCTCATAGCAATTTTAGCATTACTATTTAATATATGCGATTTAAACAGTAAAGAATTCTAATGCTCTACAAAATAAGAATATTTTATCAAAGAAATTTGATAAAGGTTTACATAAAATCTACAATACAATTATTGAATTTAAAATATCAACTTCTAAATCGAAAACTTTTATTTTGTTATTTTTGTTTGAAGATTTATAATTTGCATATTAAAATATACTTTTAAAGATATCTTAACGAATAGTTATAAAGATATATATATATATCTTTATAACTATTCGTTAAGAATATTTATGTTAAAGATTGAATGACAGTGCGATAGCTATGGCATATTAATATAACAGTGTCGCTAATTAATATTTATTGATATTATTTGTGTTACTCTTACTGCAATAGAATTCTTAAAAATTTGAATTAGTATATTGTGTACTTATTAATGAAAAATTATTTTTATAAGAAATTAAGTTATATTCCAACATTTTGTTATTTTTGCATAAAAAAATATTGCAAGCTTTAGCAGCTACAACAATGTAGTTCTNACTTACGAAATTTGAAATAGAAAATTTTTAATAAATTAATTTTCGGGAGAATGTCCTTTGGCAGATCGCCCATGTTTTGTGTTGCCTTATTTCCATAAATCCAACTCTATATATAATCAATTAAAACAAAAACCCAATAAGAAGGCTATATGTGTGGTGGTCCCGGATTATTTGTATTTTTAAAGATAATTTTAAAATAATATATATTATTACAAAAAAAAGTCGAATAAAGTTTTTTCATACAATATAAGAAACTTTGAAAAAAAGTATAATTTTCATTTTTCTTCGATATTTTGGACTCATGAAATTTTTTGCAGAGTTATAGTTACTTTACTGAAATAACATTTTCATCGAGATATTTATCGTAAAATTTTTTAAATGTGAATATATGATATACATATTGTATATTATATTTTTGTATGCAAAAAAAATGTAGGAGGTGACAGGATCTGCATAAGACACCAAGCGACTGATAAAATATTTAGTTAGTTATCTTAGTAAATATCAATAGATCTATTAATAAGCATATTCGAGCCAAAATCAATATTTTCAATAACATATGAAAAGTTTACACAGTATAGTATAACAATAGTACGACTATATACAGCAAGATAGTGAAACTATGTGTTACAAAGTATACTCCATACATCGGCTATTGGAATTGGCGTATGTTGTATGTATTTAAATTTAATTATTATTTTTTTAACAATTTCTATTAAATAATCAAATTTAAATTTCAGTTGGAAATGCTTGCAGAGGTAGCAAACAAATATTTTAAACTAAAATTCTAAATAGAAGTTGAGGTAAAAGGTAAAAGTTTGCATTCTATACACACATTATGATTCGATTTGGAGATATCTTTTTTCAGACCTAAAAGGTTGACTACTTGCTGGATTAGACGGTAATATAACTCATTATGCAACGTGTAGAATTTTATGGAGGAATAACACGTTATAACTCGTAGAATATGAAATTTGCAACTTCAATTATTATTATTATTAAAATTTATATACAGTAAGTTACGTAAATTATTGATAGTAAAATATTTAATATAATCGGGGTAAAATGCATTCTTATATATTTACTTTATACATAAAAAGTATAGATTAACCAATATATTAACAATAATAGCAGTTTTTTAGAAATTTTTTTTAAAACAAAATATTGAAAAAAAAATATTGGAGAAAGTAAGGTTATAATGTATCGATGCATTTTTTTTAAAGTCATACAAATTTAATAAAAAATTGTGTGTGTGATAGATTAAATATCAAACCATAATTAGGCCTACATCAACTAACTATTTCCATAAATTTTATCTTAAACATCAAAAAGAAAATTATCAATAATGTAAACCAGAATATGATAATTTTGTAAATATTACTAATAATGGAAAATTACAATATGTGTTTCTATGATATAATTTACATTTGATATAATTTTACAACATTAACATTATAAACATTTAAAAATACATTACATATTTTGTTAACTACAATATGTTCAACAAAATTTTAAACTGTTTACCGTTTGGATCACTGTTTAGAAATCAATATTGGAAACCTTTCACCCTTTGTACACATAAACCCATGCAGACATCGAAGAACATTCAAATAATTACTGTCTTTGAGATCCATTTGACACAAATGAGAAAAACTTCATCAATTGATTTATATAAATTAAGAAGAAAACACAGCCATTGAACCTCTGACAACAAACTGTAAAATTGCCTCACTTCTTCAATGGCACCATAATCAATTATCTCTGGGATGTCTGGAAATGAATTGTCCCAATGCCAGAGCCACATTGGCATAAAACTGAATTCTTTAGAGTTTTCACTTTCATACAACTGACCTAAATCAAAATTTTCCTTTAATTCATTTCCATCTTCCCAAATTTCCATATTTTCTAAAAGTTTAGTCTCAAATCTTCCAGCATAATCATTGTTTTTCTTCCAAAAACTTTGAGCTTTCGATCTTGCTTGTAAATTTAATTCTACAGCTCGTTTTAGTCTCTTGGGAATTTCTGGGATACTAAATGTAATCAAAAACATGCAAAAAATATATTTTTGTAAATTCTGTATTAATTCTGTAACAACAGCATAAATTACAATAGTTTTTATAGTATAGTTACAGTAAATGGTTTTACGACATTAATTAAAATATAAAGTATAAAAAGCATTTAAATACTCACACAATTATTTCAGATTTACTAATTTTTGCAGACTGAGAAATATTCTTGTTAATATTCGGCATCTGTTTATTTACTGTTCTTTCTGTAGTGGTACATGTTTTTGAAGACTTAAATTCAACATTACTTAAATTTTCATTAGACTTTTGCAGTTCTGTTTTCAGTTTGACAAACTTACTCCTGGGCAAAACTGCTGTTGTAATATTCTGCTTACTTTTCTGAGATAGAGTAACAGTTTGAGATTCCTTGTCACAATTCTTTGATGCACGAGTTGCAGTGAATTCTCTGTTAGATATCTGGAGCTTGTTCTGCTTAACTTGAACCATAGACTTTGTCTGAGAACTCTTAACAGAAAAAACTTCATTCTGTTTTTTGTCATTTGTTTTGGTATTGCTACTCTATAAATTAAAAATATGACATTATAGAGAGTTTATTAATGGATTAATCTTTCTTTACTAATTACAAGTTTACATTTTATTTTCAGTATACACTAACACACTTAAATTTTAAATGTTAATTGCAAAGTACAATATAGTACAACGGTAATTGCATGCACTTATGGCCATGTACTGCATTATACACAAATATTAAAAAGGAAAAAGTAACTATGTGGCTGATACATTAAGAAATAATATTCATATACTCAGTGCATGTCACAATTTAATTTTAAAAATATTTACAAACAAATGTGTTTGGCTCTAATTGACAGCTAAATGATAATATTTTTGATTGAGAAATATGTGGCTAACAAATAAAGTAGAAGTAGAAATTGCTTACATCATACCAATGTAAATAGATATTAATATAATACTGTAAAATAACAAATTACAGATCACTACTGAAATCATATGAGAGCATCAATATAGTTTAACAATGCTAAAAGCTGATCAATATTCTCTCTTTTTTTTTTTGTCCAGAANGTAAACCAGAATATGATAATTTTGTAAATATTACTAATAATGGAAAATTACAATATGTGTTTCTATGATATAATTTACATTTGATATAATTTTACAACATTAACATTATAAACATTTAAAAATACATTACATATTTTGTTAACTACAATATGTTCAACAAAATTTTAAACTGTTTACCGTTTGGATCACTGTTTAGAAATCAATATTGGAAACCTTTCACCCTTTGTACACATAAACCCATGCAGACATCGAAGAACATTCAAATAATTACTGTCTTTGAGATCCATTTGACACAAATGAGAAAAACTTCATCAATTGATTTATATAAATTAAGAAGAAAACACAGCCATTGAACCTCTGACAACAAACTGTAAAATTGCCTCACTTCTTCAATGGCACCATAATCAATTATCTCTGGGATGTCTGGAAATGAATTGTCCCAATGCCAGAGCCACATTGGCATAAAACTGAATTCTTTAGAGTTTTCACTTTCATACAACTGACCTAAATCAAAATTTTCCTTTAATTCATTTCCATCTTCCCAAATTTCCATATTTTCTAAAAGTTTAGTCTCAAATCTTCCAGCATAATCATTGTTTTTCTTCCAAAAACTTTGAGCTTTCGATCTTGCTTGTATGTTAAAGATTGAATGACAGTGCGATAGCTATGGCATATTAATATAACAGTGTCGCTAATTAATATTTATTGATATTATTTGTGTTACTCTTACTGCAATAGAATTCTTAAAAATTTGAATTAGTATATTGTGTACTTATTAATGAAAAATTATTTTTATAAGAAATTAAGTTATATTCCAACATTTTGTTATTTTTGCATAAAAAAATATTGCAAGCTTTAGCAGCTACAACAATGTAGTTCTTTATGAAACTTAAAAACTCTTTTTAATGAACTGAAATAAATCTAACAATTAAAATTTTATATATAGATTTTTTTAAGGTAAATCATGTTTTTTTAATAGTACAGCCTCATTATTCTGTAGAAAGAAGAAACCTTTAGAACTTTATCTTCAATTATCGAACCGCTGATTTAATTACAAGAGCAGCTGTTTTTCTGTATAAAGAGCAAAGTTTTAATGGATATTATGATCAAGTTTAAAATTTTAAATAAATTTTTAAATAAAATT